GTGGACTTTGACAGGACCCAGGAGGGGATTATCAAGAGTGGGTCATGTCAAACCAATCTGATCTATTTTCTTGCTATCGAGACCAGTTTGGTTGACCACAGAAATGCCTTGGACATGAAGTACTTTGACTTCAGCATTTAATAAAGCCTCCCCTGAGATCCTAGACCAGAACATGTGCTGGACTCTGAACCATTAGATAAACACTGGGCTGGCTGAACCCCTGTACCCACCACCAAGTGTACATTAATGGCTCTGCTGTTGAATGAAGTCCAGGTGCTCTCAGGTTGAGCTCCTGTGTAGTTCCGGTGTGATCGTTCCCCTCCATTATGAACTGGGTGGACCACACATGAGATATTGCATTCAATTCTGGGCACCACATTTCAAGGACAATTGGCAAAATGGAGCTTGTCCAGAGGAGAGCAACCAAATTGACAAGGGACCTAGAGGGAAATCCACGTGAAGAACAGTTGGAGTTATTGCATATGCTTCGCTTTTGTTTTGATAATGGTGGGGAAACGTGTCTTCGTGTGTCAGAAGGTAGGGAAGGAATGTTTAAAGTTGGTCCAACAATCGGGGCAAGGAATGGTACCCAGATGACAAGGGACTCACTTCTGTCGGACACCAGGAAAGATTCCCTAACAATCAGGTCTCTTCAGCAATAGAACCGCCCGCCTCAGGAGATGTGGCCATCTGCTGAAGAAGCTACTCAGGACAGACGGTTGACCAGTTGCCTTTAAGATCTCCTTTAGCATTTGATGGTTCTGTATCACCCAGAAATTCATTGTTTCAGGGGGCACAACACAGCAACATCTTTAAATCACAGAAACAGCCAACAGTGGCAAAACAATGGTGGACTCTTCCTCATTGGGTAAGGTCAAGCAGAGCCTTAACAGCTACTGTGGAGGGAGCCTCCATGGCCTCCTCAGTGACTCTTCTAGGATTCGAAGGGTTGGCATAGGCACCTGCTTCAGAAAACAATCTGGGGCCAATGAGAGAATCTATCTTTGCCCCAGCAACAGGCAAGAAGCAGGCCTGTCGGCAGAACTCGAGTCCCAGGCCCACTTAAGCCGAATGCCTCTCATGCCCCAAGCAAATCTATCACATCCGAGGCCTCAAGGAGCTTCCTGGGATATCAGCCAAGCTGCTCACCTTCAGATGCCCTTCTGTTCCAGGTGGCCGGCTTGTTCCAGCGGCCACCGTGCTCCCTTAAGGAGCTGTTGACAAAACATGGGGCTGGCAGGGTGGGGTGGAGGGAGAGAACAACTCAAAACCAGTTAGTCTTACTAAAAGGCTTAAGGGGAAAATGCCAGTTCAGGCCATTCCTCTTTCAAGGTCAGTCTCTCCACGGCCTCAGGGGCTGCACATACAACACTCTGAACAACCTGCATTTTCACTTTAGACCCCTCCCCCCTTTTATTAGTGCATTTCAATCCAAATTCACATAACTTGAGAACAAGCAGGCCTGCTGGACACGGGTCTCTCCCTTTGGCCACCCATGCGCCTCAGTCTCAGGAGCTGCCCAGGACTGGTCAGCCTCCTTGTCACCAGGCAAAGCTGGCGGTGCCTGTCCGCAGCATGCCGGTGTGGCAATGTGGACAATGCGCAAACAAAAGTCTATGGCCTATGGGAGGCCTTGTCAGGGACCTTCTGAAACCTCACACGGGGGTCTCAGCCAGGCAATAGCCATAGCCCTTAGATCTGCATACCGCTTCAGTGCTTCAGAGCCCCCTCTAAGCGGGAAGGCTGAGTCAACCTTGAGCCGGTGAGGTTTGAACTGCCGAACGGCCGGCAGGCAGCAGAAGTAGCCTGCAGCCAGTACTACATTCTAAGGACTATTCACTCCGTTTTCAAGTTTCTCGTTCAGGGGAAGCTGCACCCATTCCCAAATGGGAAAGGGCTGCTCCCTTTGGCCCCCCCTTCCCATCGCCGGTTGGGTAAGAAGTCTTAACATCTCAAGACCTTGATAATAAGGACAGGGCGAAGGAACCCCAGCCCTTCTTGCAGGTGGCTTCCCATCCAGAAGTGGGGGACCCTCACTCCCACAAAGACGGCCGCTGGCTGAGACGTTCTGGGGGACTGGAGAGCCCTGCCAAGCCAGGGAAGGGAAGCTGCCAGGTTCTCTCTACACCTGAGTCAGGAAGATGCTTCAGCCAAAGGTGGAGGGAAGCTTTAGTGCAGCAGAGAAGATGCCTTGGCTCTCCGTGGCAGAGGGGATCTGATGGCTCTCGCGTTCCTCCTCCGCTTTTTCTGATGTCTTGAGAAAGGGCCGAGCCTTCGGGCGACTGTCAGGTTCCTCCTTGGGTGGCTCTGGCACTGGAGTTGCCTTCTGCTTTCCCGCCTTTGCTCCTGCACTTTTATGTTCTTGCAAGGTCAGCCGTGCATGCAGACAGCCACTAAACCAAGCAAGCCAGAGCCCACAGATGTTTGCAATCACGGGACAGGTGAAGGTCACGTCCCATTTACCTACGATTTCCTTTTTTGATGCTTTCATTCCCCTGGCATACGGCCTGGGAGCTTTGGCCTTCCGGCCCTATCGAGCCGGTGGCCCCTGGGGAGAAACGATGGGAACCAAACAGGATTTGCCCACTTTTGCTACACTTGTGAACATGGAGAGCTCCTTGCCTGGAAAGAACCACATCAACTACACCTTGCAATCAGGGAGTAGGAAGACCTCAACCACCTTGGAGGGAAGGCCTTGGTCATCCTTCAGCCGTAGATTCCTCCAGGGCAAGTTTCAAGCCACTGGCCCAAGGACAAGGGGTGCAATGGCCAGTCCTGGGCTCTTTCTGCTTCTTGGAGGAGCCCCTCCTGTGCCACTGGTGGGCCGTTCGCCCTTGCAGCCCACCCTGAACCCACGTTGGCCTTGTGCATTGAAAGGGCCCAGGGGAGATTGCCTGGGTCTCTCTGCTGCTGCCAGCACTAAAGCAATAGTGGGGAATGAAGTTGAAGGCATGGCTCGGGAGGAGCATGGAGAACTGCTACGGGATACTTTGCCGGCCCTCAAGCCAACAATGCCACCAAAGGTTACTCATTAACAGATCACCTCCACACCCACATAAGCCACCCCATCACAGGGTGGGACCAGCCACCCCTGTAAAGCCCAGCCGAGCAGAACAGCCTGAAGAAACTCTGGTGCATCCAATCTTGGGTTTTCTGATGAAAAAGGTGGCCCAGAGCTTCAACTGCTCCCATCTCGTACAATGAAGATCATGTTGAATTATGGACTCTTTCTCGGGGAAAGACTTGAAGGCTGGTTGCTTAATATAGCAATTGTGGTACGTGGTGTAAGTTAAGCATGCATATGAATCAGTGAATGCGTAATGAACAGTTCAGATTTGAGCAGAAACGCGTGGTGCCTTTTTGGTTGCTTCTTGCATATAAATTTAGCTTTTTCAGAAATATCTGACATTTCAAGTATGTTGTGCTGGGGACATTACATACACACACTATATGGTGCAGCAAGGAATATGAATTTAAAAACTAATTATTAACAACCAACGTAGCTTTATTTAATAGACAAAAAGGAACGGTGAAAAACAAGATGAACGTGTATATCTCTGAAGGACGTTTACTGAAGACAGGAAGACAGATGGAGGAACCGAGACCCCAAAAGTTGGCAAAAATGAGGAGCAGCAGGAGGAACATTGGCCAAAAGGTGCAAAAATGGCTCCCTAGCCATCTGTCCTTCTCCTCACTTTATTATACTACAGGGAAGTTGACATTAAGAAATAAATAATGAATGTATAATGAAATGTCTTCCTTTGGTAACGAAGGATGTTGCTGAATGGAGTTGAAATGAGTCCTTCAAAGTGTATGTGTGTGTGTGTGAGAGAGAGTGTGCGTGAGCATGCACACAATAACAGAAGAGGTTGCAGACTGAAGGCGGGATGAATGCAGACCAAATACATAGGGAGGCCCCAGCACAATAGAGGCACTGTGGTCACACACAGAAAGAACCACATGCGAATCCTGTTGCAAAACCGACATGTGAAGGGCAAACAAGTCAAGAGAGAGGCCGAAAGTGGCATTGGATGGAAGGTTGCTCAGAAACAGAACATGGGACGCTTAAAGCACCGGAGGCAGCCAAGCCCAGGCGGCTGGACCAAGAGCAAGGGGGGCAACGAGGGAGAGCCCTTCCGGCCACCTTTCCGATCTTACGGCACGTTTTTTTACATTCTTGGGCTGCTTTCCACTCCTTCTCTTTCCACTCAAGGAGGGGGGTGTGTGTGTGTGTGTGTGTGTGTGTGTGTGTGTGTCCTGAACCCCTCCAGAATGCCATGGGTGCCATGGGCCACGGCAGAGCCTGTGCCGCACTGGCCTGGCCTGAGATCCGGCACCTTGAAGCGCCCTGGAGAAAGGGACCCCCAGGAGCAGGCAAACCCCCTTCCGCTCTTGTGTCTCTGGAGTCCTTCTCGGGGGCTGCTGGGCCCCAAAGCTCAGGGGTTTGTGTGCGTGCGCGTGTGTGCGGGGGTGGGGAATGCTGTTGGGGAAGAAGGTGGCGGTGTGTGCGTGTGTGTGTGTGTGTGTGTGAGTGAGTGTGCCAGCCAACAGCCGCTTTTCTGTTCTGGGGGGAGGGGGAGGAATTCCACACAGCTCACTCTCCAAAACGCTTCACGAGCAGCAACTGAGAATGTAGCAGGCAGGCGGGGCCGGGGAAGAGGCACACGGCTGCTACCCCACATCCGCCAGAGCAGCCTTGACTTCTCCTTTCTAATGCTGAACTCCAGGAAAGGCCAGGCAGGCCTCGGAGGTTTGTCCTTGGGCGGAGGGGCTGGGCAGGAAGAGCCCTTCCCTCTGGGGCTTTGGAGGGCCACGAGGCCACCCCGCCGGCCCCTTCCCCACTGCAGGACAGCAGCCCCCCCCCCTCTGAAACACTCGGCTGCCCAGCCCTGAGCAGGAGCAGCCACACAAGCACGCAGGCCGACATGCTGGCCAAGCGAAGGCTGCTCCCCAAGGGGCCAAACAGGACCCCCCAGCCCCTCTTGGCGAAGGGAGGCAGCCTCTTGAAGGGAAAAGGCTCCCCAAGCCCCCCTCCCTCCTGCCTCTTCCAGTCTCCGGCACGGCCTCCGGGGGCTCCTCACACGGCCACGCTGGCTGACTGGGCCAGGCCCAGGGCCTGCACCAGCTCCTCGCTAAGGCCGCTCTTCAGGGTCCGCCTCACTGCAAGGAAGGGAAGAGAAAGGTCAGGGAGACGCGGAGACCCTCTCTTGGCGGGGCGGGGCCTGCTCTGAGAGGGGACCCGGAGCCCCTGGGGGAGGGGCAGGGAGACCTCTCCCCCCACATCAATCGCCCCCCCCTCCAAGGGTGAGGGGCCACAGCAGAAGCCTCCTCTGGCCTCCACCCAAGTGACGGAGCAGGCAACCCTTACAGGACTTCCTGTTCCCGCGTGACCGCCGGCGCTCCTTCGCGGGGCCTGAGCGTGCAGGAGATCTCTGGGTCACGGACTTGACCAGGCGGTTCATGATCTCCTCCGAAGCATCCTCGGGAGAGCCAGCAGCTTCCTCCTGGGGGGTGGACCCTCCGGCAGGACTCGGCTTCCCAGCACCTAAATGGGGACACTCCTGAGGGGGGGGGGCAGTTGCTGACATGCTTCTGGGGGGGGGGGGGGGGGGGGGGTGTTTGAGCCAGCTCATCTCGTCTCTCCACATAACTGCAGTGCACCCTTCAGCCCCCCCCCCTTAACCTCCTCCAGCAGATGAGGCTCCGTCTGCCCTGGGGGAGGCCTCCTTCCTCTGCCTCGCTGACCTCTCTCCCCAGAATGGGCTGCCATCTAAAGATAAGCCGGGTGGGACCTGCAGCACCCAGTTGGGAGAAGGGTTTGGGCTCAATTCTGTGGCGAGAAAAAGGCTCCCCTGAAATAAGAGCCCAAACACCTGGAAACAGAGGAAGCCCCCTTTTTTATGGGCCTGCCCAGCGGTCAGGGGGTCCTCTCGACAGACCTGCAGAATTTGCTCCCTGGCCAAAGGAGGCCCACCGAAGGCTCCAAGCGCACACGGGGACTGCTGCTCTACAGAGAGCCAGGTAAAGAGTGGGAATGCCCTCGGGGGGGGGGGGCTTCTCTCCCCTCCCATAAGGCCGGCACTGGCTGCCTCGCGCTCCTTTCTCACTTCATGCCATCCAATTGGCCTCTGCAGGAAGGCCTGGGCCTGTCGCCACGCCGGGGCCAGGGCACTGAGCTCCTGCTAATCCAGCTAACAGGACTTGAAATCCCCGGGAGATGGAGGGCAGCAGGGGAATATGGGAGGGCCCTTAGCAATGCTGGGAGCTACCAAGGGAGGAGGGGGAAACGGAGGCACCCAGAAGGACCGGAAAGGAGCAGGAAGGGGCGGGGAATCGTGTGCAGCTGCCAGAGAGCCCAGGCAAAGGAGTCCTGCCCAGGCCAAATCCTGTGCCAGCCACCCCGGGGCTACGTCCTACCTCTGCTGGCGCGAGAGCGGTGCCCGGGGAGCGGTGCCTCCTCTGCTGGGGAGACAAGCAAACTGGCCATGTCCTTGTGGCTGGCTTCATCCTTTTGCTCTGGACTGGCGGATAGCACTGCAGGAGGAGGAGAGCCGTCTTCGATCTTGCTGGCCGCAGCAAACTTCTCCATCTGCAAAAGAGAGGAGATGCCCAAGGATGCAGGCCCCGTGGCGGCTCTGTCTCTTCCTGCTGTTCTGGGCCACCGTGAGGCCAGCCCCGAGGGGGTGGGAGAGGACACAGACGGATCGCCTCTTTGTGTGCCCGTGTCCCGCTGCACCTTTTGAGCCCCCTTGGGTGACGCGCACCTCAGTGATCATCCTGCCTCGTGTCTTGTTCCTCTCCCGGCAGGCTGCCCGCTTCTTCTGCTGCTGCAGGACACGCTCTCGGCACGTGTGGTACTCCAGGGCAAACTCCCGCAGGAGCCGGCAGAAGCTGGTCACTCTCATGTTCTGCGCCAAGTGTGTGTCGTAACCCAGGAACAGGAGAAAGGAGCGGAACCTCGAGGGAGAGAGAGAGAGAGAGAGAAAGCCTGAGCCGCGGTGTCTCAGTGGCGAGAGTGCAGTACTGCAGGCTCCTTGTGCTGCCTGCCAGCTGCCAGCAATTTGGCTGATCGAATCTCACCAGGCTCAAGGTTGAGTCAGCCTTCCGTCCTTCTGAGGTGAGTAAAAGGAGGACCCAGAGACTGGCTCTGAAGTGGTATGTAAGTGCTATTGCTGTCCGTGGGTCCGAGGTGGCACTGCCACAGAGACTGGCCTGTGACCTCCAAGGCACTGCAAGAACCTGCTCAAGTGCCTCCCCCCCCCTTCCCTTGAAAGAACCTCCAGGGACCCCAAAAAGATGATGCCGAATCCGGACGGAGCCCTAATCCCCCCCCCCAGTGGGGGCTGAAGGATGCATGGAGCAGCAGAAAAGCCAAAATGCTGTCCCTCCCCCTGGGAGAGGTAGACTGCAGCCCTTGGGCAGAAAATCCCTCCAGGAGCAGCCTGGTTGGTCTCTTCTCACTCCAGAGGTTACATTCCCATCTCATTTTACAGCTTTCAAGCATGATGAAGGTCCTTTTAAAATTGGATATTCAGCAACTTAACATTCAAAGAGCAATTACTACAAAATAAGCAAAAGACTAAATTGAACAAACGCACCAAGGAAAGTGGGCGGGGGGGACACACAGCAATTTGTCCCGATGGGGCAGCCGAGAGGGAGAGCAAGCAGCGTGGCTGACTTCATACAGCCACCGGCTTCTGCTGCCCCCCCCCCACTCTCGGGGCAAGGGCCTCCCTCTGGGGGCAGCCCCAGCTTCCACCCACATATAGCCCAGGTCTGAACCTGTCCAGCTGTTGCAAGCAAGGGAGTCGAGGTCTGTGCTGGGGCCACCAGGTGAGCAGGCACCTCAAGACTCCCAGACCCTGAACCACTTGGTCAAACTGTAGCCATGCCATTGGGGGGGGGGGGGAGAGCTGTTTTCTGGAGGGAGGGTCTTTAAGGATGGGACAGTTTCACCTCAGGAATGTGCAAAACTGCACCGGCCGTTCCTGAAATATTTGGGCATTCATCTTCCTAGGATGTTCCAGCCTGGAGGTTCCACGGGAGACCCGACCCTTTCCAGAATGAATCTCCCAGGACAGAAAAGGGTCTTCCGGCCCCCACAACTGAGGGACGAGTGGATTGTGAGGAGCTTTGTCCTCAGCGCCTTCATTCCCTCCGGCCTGGACGACCCTGCCCTTAAAGTGAGCTGCCTCGGGGACGGAACCCAGGGCCACCATCTTGCTGCGATGTGGCCAATCCAGGGATCAGTTCCACTTAACAGAAGCTCAGCCTCCTCTTGGCCGCCCGTGTCCTCCCCGAGGCCCACCGCCATTTGCTTGTGGGAAGCTGCGTCTGGCTCTAAGCGGAACACTGCTCTGTTGATGGCCATACACACAACAGAGGCCCTTCTTGGCGAGCGAGCGAGCGAGACAGACCTGTTCAACACCCGCCGGTGGACGATCTTAAGGAGACCGATCTTCTCTGTGCTGGCCTGCAGAAAACCCAGCAGCTTGCTCTTGAGTGCCGGCTTGCAATCGTGTTTTGCGATGGCCTTCAGGTGCTCCCAGGAGGCTTTGCACCGCTGCTCCAGCTGCAGGAGGCTTTCTGCCAGCTCCTCAAAATCCACCTGAGGAGACAAGACGGGAGCTGTGGGATTTGGGCTGGACCTCAGCAACCAAACTCAGCCTCCCGGGTGCAAAATGGGGAAGGAAAGGCCCTTCACCTTGGCACAGCGAGTGAGGGCCGCGATCTCCGAGTAGAGGTCTGTGGTGGCTGGGAACTCCACCACCACGAAGTGGCACAGATGGTGCAGGAGGCTCTGCCGGTGGACGGTGTCTTTCACCTCCGACACTTTGGCCAGGTAGCTGAGCTCAAACCCTCGGCTCTGAAACAAGGAACCTCGTAAGTGCCAGAGGTGCTGGGGAAGTCGCTCCAGAGACTGTCCACAAAGAGCTGGGAGGCCTTCAGATGCTCCTATTTTGATCCTGGATGTCTTAAAAGGACTTTTAGTAAGGAGCAGGCTATGGGAGGGACACCAGGGCAGGCTTTGGCCTCGCACCCCACCTCAGAAACCAGCCCCCAATCCCAGAGACTTCACTAGGACAGACCAGGGAAAAAGGCTTTGATCATCTCCAGATACGTTCTGATCCAATGCCAGAGCCAGGTGTCAGATCCACCACCTTCAGCTTGGCGCCTTGCTGGCAGTTCTGCCATCAATCAGGGAAGGGAGGGGGAACAAATGGCCAGTAAAGCTGTATACCTTTATGATGGGAAATTGGGAGGGAGAACTGACTTGTGAGGAAGAACAGAGAAGCTCGGACTCCGGTTCATGCTAGAGCTGAGGTCTTCAAGGCCGTATACCCCGAGAGGGGAACTTCTCCCGCACAAACACCTCAGCGTCTCCCAAGGCATCGCGGGGGTGCCGGACTGGCCAGGGGGGGGCGGGGGGGGGGGGGGGGGGGGGGGGAAAGGATTAGGGGAAGCTAGACGTCTAGATTTTAGATTCCGCTTGACTTTACTGCAATCACCGTCTCTTAGTCAAAGTGCCTTTTCACTTCAACCAAATGGAGTTGAGAGTTTTACTTCCTAGGAAATCAGACTAGGGCAGGTCTGACACCAGGCACGAGACTTTCCTAAAAGGCAGCCATGTCATGCTTCACCTGGGAGCCATTCAGGAGGTTGCCCATGGCTAGAAGGGTGGCCAGAATACACCTGAAGGTCTGGTTATTGACTAGTTGCTCCATGCCCAGCTTCAGGTCGAACAGAGGCTCTACAATTTCCTGAAGAGAAGAAAATAAAAAGGTTCCAGTCAGAGTCACCTGAACCTCAGGACGGGCGGCAAATAAATTTGATCAATAAAATAAATAAGGTACCCAAACCTTCCCGGAATAGGAAACGCGGAAAAGGGAGGACTCAGAAAAGAGCCATCTGGTCAGACACTCATGGGGTGGAGTGACACCCCGTCTCCAAACCTACCGACTACGTCAGGCAGCAATGCCAGACAAGTGCCCCGCATCCACAGGGACGCTCGGCTGCCAGATTGACCTGGACTCGCCCTTCCTTGCTAACCAGCAGATTCTTCCTGCAAGCTAGCAGGGAGGGTCGTCCTGAAGTCTGGCTCTGCACCCCTGGTCAACCCGGGACTTGCACAAGTACCTTCTCCAGGGCTTCGTAGTCTAGCCTGAAAGTCCACAACTGGAGGCGAGCCGGGAGTTCTGCGATGGAGGAGAGCGTGAGCAGGAATTGCTCGGCTGACCCCAAAGGGAGATTCGGGTTGGCCAGTTGGGCCTCCTGGATCTTCTGCTTCTCCTCCTCTGTGGGAACCATGGTCAATATTTTCTGGTTCAACAAAAAAGCCAGAGGGACTAAGGTGAGTCAAAACCTCCTTCGGATCCATCAGAATCTCCTGACGTTCTCCTGAACGGGAAGCTTTTGGAAGCACTGAGGACACCCCAGGAAATCCCTTCTCACCTCAATCCCTTCCTTATTGATGGCAAACTCATCAAAGCTGAGAATGGCCGTCTTGATGACATGGATGGGAGGCAGCACCGTCAAGCCAATGTTGATGGCATTGCTCCTCTTGGGATCCAGGACTACAATCAGCTTCCTTCCATCCACAGCTTTCTAAAAGGGGAGCAGCAGGATTGGAACAGATTAAACACAGGATCCAGGTGCGCCTTTGCTTTTCTTGGCTTTGACAAGTAAGAAAGAGAACCCAGATAGTTTTTTGCCAAATCCACCATTATAAGCCAAGAAAGTCAAGAGGCTCCTGAGGATGCAGAGCTGAGACCAGGACAAGTGAGGCCCTTAAGTCTAACAGGGAAGCATCGGCCAGGCCGAGACACCAGTCACCCTGAGCTACAGCTGCTCTACTTCTTTATCACGCCCATTTATGCCTCGAGCAAGGGAAAGAGGCCTCTCCATGGCCAGACCCAAAGCAGGACCAGCTGGATCAGAAGATTGTCTACCTGCAACTCAAAACCCCAGCAGCCAAGAGACCCGCAAAGCACCTCTACACAGAACCTCTGTGGGGCAGGGAGCCCAAGGAGGGGAGGGAAGCTGCTGTGCCGGACGGGGAAGGAGTGGCAGAGTAGTTCCTTTTGCTCTTGTACTTTGAGCCCAGGGTCTGGCCGTGGAGGAGAGGCTGAAGAGGAGGAGCAGCCCACATCTCCAAGCCGGGAAGTGATGCCAGGGCAGCTGCTGTTCCTTAGGTTCTGTCTTCGCTCCGGTCCTTCTCAGCATTTTCATAAATGATCTAGATTAGGGGAGGGATGGGGAACGCACCCAATTTGCAGACGACACCAAGCTAGGGGGAATAGCCAACACTTCAAAAGATAGGATCAAGATCCAGAAGGATCTTGATAACACTTGAGCATTGGGCGCTATCCAACAAGATAGGTCTGGTCTAATAAAGAGAAAGATTGGGGCAACATGGTATAGTCTTCCAATATTTGAGGGACTGTCACAGAGAGGAGGAGGTCAACCTATTGGCGAGACAAGCAATGAATGGAAAATTATCAAGGAGAGATCCAACCTAGAACTAAGGAGAGGTTTCCTGACAGTGAGAACCAGTGGAACCGCTTCCCTTCAGAGGTTGTAGGTGATCCACCACGCGAGGTTTTCAAGATGAGGTTGGACAACCATTTGTCCATATAGGATCTCCTGCTTGAGCATGGGATCGGACTGGAAGACCTCCAAAGTGCCTTCCAACTCTGTCATTGTATGTTCTATGTTCTCTTCCAGCCAGAGAAGAGCATTGATAGGCCAAGCTGCAGCTTCACGCAGCAACTTACCTTGGAACTCGGAGCCTCCTTTGCCCTGGACTCAAAGAGATGTTCCAGCTTAGCAGAGTCAACTGTGACCTTCTCCAGGGATGCCCACAGAGTAGCCTGCCCAAAGCGACTTTCCCGGGCAGGGCCATCTATGTCCTTCAGCTCCCTCCAGAAGAGCTTGACCGTCTTCTTTTTCTTGGCAGGGGAGCTGGCTTCTCCCCCAAGAAGGGGGCTGCTGAGTGGAGGGGGAGGAGGCGGACCAGGTATGCCAGGTGGAGGAGGAGGAGGAGCTGGAGGAGGTGGAGCACAACCAGGAATCAGAGGAGGGGCCAGGTCTTCACCTGCTCCCAAAGCCATGGGGGGCAAGCTCGTCTTGGCCACCTTTGCTTCTTGTACATCCAAATCTTCCTCCTCACACAGGTCTGAGAAGTCCAGATCCTGGATCTTCAGAGCTTGAGAGCCAAGCCCCAGTGGACCTCCCATTATCTGGGCCCTGTCCAGCCTCTTCAGGCTGGTTTCGGCTTCAACACTGAACTGGCTTTGCAATCTGGTCCGCTGGCCCGTCCTCTCCTGGCTCTCCTCTTCCTGGCGCACCATCTTCCCCGTCTCTTCCATGCCTTGGTCTGTGAGCAGCGTCCTCTCCATGCCTGGCGGGCTCTTATTAGCGAACAGCATGTCGAGCATCAGTTTTCTCTTCGCAGAAGCACTGCTGCTCTCGAGAGCCCCCCTCATGCCACCCGGGGCACATTCTGGGTCCGGGCCCAAGACGCGGGAGGTGTCAAAGGGATGGCTTAAAGAGGCCTCCTTGGGGGACACGTCCTCCTTGCTCTCCTGGTGATCCAAGCCAGGCTCTGAGCTGGGCTCTTCCCAGTTAAGGTTTCCATTTTCTCCTTCACTCCACCTCCCTATGGCAGAAAGGGGCACTTAAAGAGGAAAAGGCCAAGCAGAAGAGAACAGAACCAAGGAAGGGACAAGCTGGGCCTCCTGCACCCTACCTGGGGCCGCTGGCTCAGTGTTCGAAGCAGCTTCAGCCAGAATCTCTGCTCGTCCACGGCTGATGGCACTGATCTTCTCTTTCTGGGAGGCAGCCAGGTTTTCTAAAAAACGGGCTCTGCAAGAGAAGAGGACACTCCACACCACTGCATGGGGGACACTGTCGCCCTTGTGCCCAGCAGACAGTGCCAACCGTGAGCTCTTACTAGTCATCTAGGCAGTGGCCGAGAGAGGGCGCCCACCAACACTGCCAGCCCCTCTTGACTTTCGATGAAAATTTACCAGGCTTACCGGCAAAGGAACACCCTCCAAAGGCAGGTGCTGCAAACAGGCTTGTTTTGGGGAGCAAGGACCCCCCACCCCCGTTTTTCCAAGGGAGAGCCATTGCTGGGAGTTTTCAGAACTCAGAGGCCAAGCCACGGCCAACCCATCCCCCAAGGCAGAGGAAACTAGGCACAGGTTGAAAGGAGGTGTGCGGGAGCCCTTCCTTCACGGCCTCTGCGGGGGGGGGGGGGGGGGGGTCGTTTCCCAGTACATCAAAGGGCCTGGATGAGAGAGTCAAGGAGACCTCAAAGTCTGCACAGGGCACAAAGCCTGGTGGGCCCGAGAGGTTCAAAAAAATCTGAACAGGCTTGAGTGAGGTGAAATTGATAGGGTGGAATTTAATGCGGGAAATGTAAAATTCTCCACCTGGGAAGGAGAAGCGTGAGGCACTAGACCAGGAGAAAAGTACAGGTAAAAAAGGGGTCTGGAGGCTTCTGGCGACCCCAAGCTAAACAGAGGCCAGCAGCGCCTTGTAGCTGCGAACAAGGCAAATGCCACCCAGGGATCGTGATCGGGAAGTCCTGTGTCCAGTTGTGGGCGTAAGGCCAATGACAGGCCCAGTGAGCCCAGAAGCGGCCACCGGGAAGACGGCCGGAAGGCTCTTGCTCCCTTTACCCTACAGAGGAGGAGACCGTTGGAGAGAAAGGTAGGATTGTGGCACCAAAGGGAGAGCGGATGTATCTTCTCTTCCCCAGAGAAGAGGAGCAGAGCCACGGGGGGGGAGGAATGAGGTCCATCCTAGGACATCAGGGTAACTTCCTGAATTCACAAGTTGTCTGGCAGTGGAACAGACGGCCACATGACATGGTGGGCTCTCCTGGGACATTTGTATTCAAGCGAAGGCCAGATGGTCAGAGATGCTGCGTGTATCTGGCATTCAGCTGGGGGCTGGGCTGGATAACCTTTGTGGTCCCTTATAACCTTATGACAATGTGGAAACACACAGAGGAACCCAGCTGGCCTCAATACAATAAACATTACCCATAAAGGTCACCAGTAACAATCAAGCTGCAAGCCAGAAAAAAAGTATTAAGGGTCTGACAGTTTCAGATGTAATCCCTGCCCTACCGGAATCCGGTGTTCCTGTTTGCCTTCATGCAAGGACACCTGAGTGTCCTCGCACAGGTAAGGCACTAGAGGATGAGGCAAGGTGCTGCACTCCAGAGCCGGTCTGCTCCAATGTCCCACCTGAAGACACACAGGTGGGCAATGGAAGGTGCCTCGATGTGCAGCTTCCATTGGGGCTGTCATGGCCATCGGGTGGCTCCAGCTGGTTTTCGGGTTTCCTGCGGGGCTGCCCTGTCCCGCCCAGATCTCTTCACCTGCCCCCTGTCCTCTCCTGGCTGCAGTGGGCACTGGCAGCCTTTCCTGCCCCCGGGAGGTCCTGCCCTGCCGCCCAGAGGCTGAGTGTGGCTGAAGCCAAAGGAGCTGCTGGGCCTAGGCCACGAGGGGGGAATGCCAGGGGAAGAGAGAAGGGCCCTCCTGGGCACAAAGGACGGACGCAGCACCCACAGGACGCCTGAAGGGGACCCCTCAGCCTTTCCTCCCAGCCAGAGCTGCGCACTGAATGCCCCCGCACCCATGGGGACACCGAGAGTGCAAGAGAGACCCACAATCCTGTTCACATCATTAAACTTTTCTCGCTCTTCCCTCGGGGGATTGACAGGGTTGCCCTCCTCCAGAGTGCAGCCTCTGCCTGAAGCAGAGAAAGGGAGATCGGACGCCTCCCGAGGTCCAGCGTTTGGGCAGGAGCCGCTTCTGACCTGCACCTGTCCTGGTCCCCTCAGACTGGCCTCCAGGCCCGACAAACCTGGCCGGGCCCTTCGCATGGAGCCATGCCCGTCACTCAGCCCCGCCCACCACACGCCACCCGTGGCCTGGATTCCTGGACTGGGGGGCGGGGGCCACGGCTGTGTGCATGCAAGGGCACACACGTGTTCCCCCAGACGCGCTCTCCTTTTTGTGCTCTGGTTCTGAAGGCACCTGCTGCTGTGCCAGCCAAATCATCCCCTCCAAGCTTTGCACCAGAATAACGGCCGCTAATTCAGCTGGGAGTCGGGATCCAAATCTAGGAGCCTCAGATCCCCCAGACCAACTGAAAGGTGAGATCCAGGCTGCCTCCCCTCCCCCGAGATAAGCTAGGACACGCACCTGCGGCAGAAGCCCTGTCGGGCCATGCTGGGCCTCACCCCCCTCCCTCCCTCCTCCGATGACTCTGCCAGGGGTAGCACCAC